TAATTATTTTTTATATTTCTTCTTTTTATTTCCATTTTGTTTTTTTTATTCTTTATTGAACAAACCTGGTGGTTCTCAGGCAGCGTCTGAACTGTGAGTTTCAATGCACCTTTCCTCTGATGTAAATATATGACTTATATCAGAGCTCAGTGAGTGTGTGACGCGTTGTGTTGAGTTTGACTCCAGATCTTGGAACCTCTTGGTCATCAAACCTTGTGCCATAACAGGAATTATAGTTTGTACATGATAGAATGATAAAGTGGTATTTACTGTCCTACGCTCTGGAGTCAGTGAAGGACAGGAGCTCAACAGTGTCTGTAAAAGGATTAAAAAAAAAAAAAGACATGTCACACACATCTGAAACATATTCACAGACAATTTATTCTTGATTGAAATTATTTCACATCATAGTTGTTATTTTTCCTGTTGAAGATCTTTTGTATTTTTATTACAACAGCCACAGAGCAGCAGCAGCAGCAATAATAATAATAATAATAATCATAATAATAATAATAATAACCCAGCAGGAGAAGCAGATCAATGCGACTGAAAGACTGAAAAAGAGAGAAACATGACGGGCGTCCCTTTTCCAGCTGCCGAAACAAGATTTTATTTACTACAAGGAATGGGAGATAGTTGTTGTTTGTCTTCAGTCTGTCAGACTTGCATCTGACCCTGTTCCTTCCATAACAACTGTTAAGACTCGAGCACAGCTTTACACGACTCGGACACGGTAGAAACTCTTTACAGGTTGTGTTGAGTTTTTAAAAAAAAAAAAAGAAGAAGAAGAGATGATAGAGGGCGGAGGGGGGAAGCGCAGTGAGCTCCACAGGATACGGAGACGTGACCGACAGGATTCAACATGTTCTACAGTAACACAAACACCTTCCATTATCACCTGCTGCAGGCTCACAGTTCACACAAGCGGCAGCTCCACGTGGCCTCACACGGGCCGCTTTCTGAAAGGAGTAGTTCTGGGAAATCTGCTTTTCTGCCAGATTATATGAGACACCAATGTCGGCTTTAATAGGAAGCTACAGCCAGGAGCTAGTTAGCTTAGCAACCGTTTCCCTCTGTTATAAGACTGATGGGTTGCTCCCAAAGTTTCTAGAGACTGTACTGGCCTGAATATAAACATGTTTAGACATTGAAAGTGTCAATACAACAGCTACAGAGCGAGTGTTGCATTATGGGTTGTTAGCTAGCTTAGCTCCATCCTCCTACAAATTAAATTATTTTAGAGGCGGACTCGTTAGCTTTAGCTGGGTGCTGTAACCTCCTGGAGGCTCGCTGCTATTCGATGTGTTTCGATCTTATTAGTTTGTCGCGGTTGGTGACTTTGTTAGCATATAAGACGGCTAAACTGTTGCTAACAGTTTTCAGAGTTTGTGCCAAACTGGTTGTAGATCTGTGATATCTGGCACTTGGAGACTTGATCTTTTTCAACATGTTTTAGTGAAGTTGTGAGCCTGTCATATGGTTTACTATTTCTTATTTCACATGCTGTTTTACGGGTTTTTTTATATGTTGTATATAAATTGAAGAATCAAGATAAAAACAAAGCCTTTGACGTGGACTAGCATGGCAGTGTGAATTGTTTTTATGCACTTTTTCTATTTGTTTGCAAAGCTTGAAAAAATCTTCTAATATTGAAAAAAAAAAAAGAGTTTTGGCTAAGGAGGAGAATTTGGTGTCGACTTAGCGAATAAATACTAACATACGTGAGTCATGAGACTTTAATGTCCATCAGAAATGAAAACAGCAAATGTGTCAGTATGACAGTCACACTTTTAATGGCGTTTTAATTCTCATTACACCTTTTAAATTTATCACAGAGTAAATATAGAACTCAGGAGCTTGGCTTTGTATTTATTTCTGTTTAAATTATATGGCAAAGCAAATCACAATTTGACATTTCCCCCAAATCGTTTAGTCCTTGTGACACTTTAGCACACGAAGCTAACAACAAAAACCACGTTTCTGTCTTGTTTTTTTTTACTTTAATTTTCACAGTTTGAAGCTGTCTCGGTTGCTTTTCCTCTTTTTTTTTTTTTATGGCACCGACTGTTTAATACTGTTTAATCCAACAGTAGTGGATAGAAATGGACATTAAATTCACATTTTCTGTTGCTAATTTTCTTGAAATTCTGGAAACCAGCTACTGTGAGTCTGCCAACCAACCTTTTCCATTTAGTTTTTTTGGCTAAACAAGCAATCACATGTGACTCAGTGAGATTTAAAACCGCTTCTGAGCTGTTTTATTGTCGACATGCTAAGCTAAGCTAACCGGCTGCTGGTAGTAGCTTCACGTTACATGAATTAACAGGATTTGGTATCAGTCTTAGTCTTCTAACTCCCTTCAAAAAAAAAAAAAAAAAAAAGCAAGAAAGTGCATTTCCCAAAATGTCAAACTGCTCCTTTAACCCATTCACACTTACAAAAAAACACATCAGGGATAAATGAAGCTACAGTAAAGTCAGGCTGAATTATCAGTTCGCTGATGTGTGGAACCACCAACTTTATTTAAAAACGATAATGGCCAGTCAGCGTGGTCCACCTCTGATATGATTATCTGAACAACATTCTCAACCAAACAAGTATTTTCACTTTTTGATATAAAAATGGCCTCATTTAAATGAATAAACCTCAGCTTCAGTCCAAAAGTGCCAAGTGTTGTTGGCGTTTTAGAAAATCTTTATCGTCCCACGGCTAGATCCTGGCAACAACCAATCAGAAAACGGTCGGACAGGATCTCTCCATTTCAGTCCTTAACTTCGGTGAGATAGTGATCGAACCCTTTATCATATTTTATAAAATAAAAATTACAAAACGAAAACATCAGATGACGCAGCGACACGTAACGTGCAAAATAAAAACCGAGAACACAGGAAACAAATGATTAAAGTGATCAAAACAAAGAAACTTAAAAGATAAGATGCGTTGAAAACATTTTTTTTTTTTTTTAGATTACAGTGCACTTTGTGTGAAAAAAATAAAACAAAACAAAAACAACCACACACATTAAGATGAAGGCAACACCAGCCTGCCGATAAAAGGAGGCCGAGAGGATGAAGAAGAAGAAGAAGAAGAAGAAGAAGAAGAAGAGGGGGAGGATTCAAAAAGAGAGGAAGGTAGAAGACGACTATATACACTCGTATGTACATCATACAGGATATGAAAGAGAGCACGATGTCCTAAAGCTAGACCCGAGGATGATGGCCGTACACAAACCGAGTCGACAGGCCCAACAGAAAACTGTCATGGCACCCAATAAATAGGAAACAAAGCGCCTCGTGGCGGACGGCGTCCTGTCCTCTGATTCAGCAAACATCCGGAGCATTCTGCAGGTCGAATAAATAAAACGGATGGATGCAGTTGTTGTTGTTGTTTTTTTTTTCTTTAAAGACAATCCACCCGGACCACACGTTGGACAGAGATGCAGTGTGTCAGGGCAGTTACCACATCGTATGAAACACAAGAAACAGGCAACATTTCGAGGGAATGTAGGCGGGCAAATCAAAGGCTTCCAATGTCCCTTATTGTGATTATGTACAATAATTCAGTCCCATCCTGCGATGAGGCCTGGAAACGTCACCCATGTGTTATGGCGTCATATAAATACAGCAGGACGATTCAAAACAGGTGGTGCGACAGGTAGAAAGAAGCAGCTCGTCCACTAGAGGCACTGCGACCCTTCACTCGGACCTCAGACACGGGACCAAACAGTGTTTGTCCACAGGCGGGGGCTGAAAGGAAACGGTGAAGATGTTTGGCAGGTGTCCTTTCCTTTGTTTCAAACGTCGTCCCAAACCAGAAAAATAGCGGAGGATATGAAAATATACAACTCTCAGCTGGTGATGCGTCTGCGTTTACAGGTCCACTCTGCTCAGAGAGATCCACGAGTGGCCGCCCTCGACGAAAACAAAAGGACTCGGGGACAAAATCCGGGAGGCTTTGGAGACACAACTTATAAATATGAGGCAGTCCCAGACCACCAAGCTACTGCTACACAACTGTCCTATTAAATAGTACGGGGAGGTCGTCAGTATGTACACTGAAAGCAAACGAAAAGGGAACCAATGTTGCCGTTGAACTTTCCTGCAGAGCTCCTAAAATGTCATCACTGGGGTTTGTTTTCTTCATTTATATATATAGAAACACACAATATATGAAAGCACAGATGTCTGGAAAAATATGTTAATTCAAGTTGATAAAAACCGTTTTTTTTTTTTTTTTGTTTTTTTTTTTTTTTTTGTGTGTGTGTGTGTGTGTGTGTGTGTGTGTGTGTGTGTGTGTGTGTGTGTGTGTGGTATATGAGGAGTAGGCACAGTCTTCTTTTCTCTGAGGTAGCACCTCATGTTTCCCAATGACAGACTCGAATCTGACGGCAGATAGAGAGAGCGGCGACTTTTTAACAGTTCGACTCGGGAGAGCTACATCGTGGGTCGGATCGGAGGAGAACCGGAATGTGAGCTGCTGCTGAAGGGACGGGAAACTGATGTATGAAAAGAGACGGGGCAGAGGACAGAGACAGAGAGACGAGCGTCCTTAACGTCCGCCGGCGTTCTCGGTAAAAACGAGGTCCGAGTACGGGGAGCGGCGAGGTCCACGAAGCGACTCGGACGAGGCCGACGAAGGCTCCTCAGACGTCCTCCTGGTTTAATGATGGCGTCGGTGGAGATGGTTGTCGTGTTGTGTGTGTGTGTGTGTGTGTGTGTGTGTGTGTGTGTGTGCAGTGTGTGTGTCTGGCCATGTGTGAAGATGGGAGGGAGGACGGTCGATCACCAGGCCTCCGTGTACCGAACGTCCACGTCCTTCAGGTTGGGCAGTTTGGCCTGCAGACACACAACAGGTAAAAAAAACAGTTGGTTTATCTTTCGTCTGATGGATTATGATCGATTTTAAAGATACAGTGGTTTCAAAACTGTACACGAATAATAATAACGTGAATATTTTCTGGGTTCTTTCCTCTTCTATGATGGTAAGATGAGTATTTTTAGGTAGTCTGAGGAACACCAATCAATGTTTTTCAGTGTTTTCTCAACAGTGAGAATAATTTTAATCATATATTTAAAGCATATCTTAATTGAAATTGCAAAATCTGTCACAAAAATTAGATATTTTCTAGACATTATTTAGTGTTGAGTCACTTTTATCAGGAAACAAACAGCAGAGTTAGTTTAAGATGAGTTGAGATTAAAAAGGCATCAAGTGGAACATGTAAGACACAACATTTAAAAAAAAACAAGTCACCAAAATTACACTACAAATCAAAAATAAAAAGAAATTGTTGGATTTTCCCCTTTACGACATCAGACTACTCATCTGTGGTTTGCTTTGTCAGTGTTCATAGTTCCATCTGCCCAGAGGGTTCTCTCTGAGGAACCTTTGACGGTATTTGAGTGAGAACTTTTCTCATCCTCCAGACTTGGTATTTACAAAATATTCTAATCTGAGCATATATTCATTTTGTCACCAGTCTTTATATAAACCATACATAACGGTACCTTTCTTTCTACTGTCTCAGCATTGTTCCTTGTGTTTATTTGGCTTTAAGTGCTACAAAAAAAAGTCTTATGATGGAGAGAAATCCTAGTTTTCTTCCATTATGTTCTCTAAAGTCCATTTCATGCGGTGTGGGTTACCTTGAGGTCCTCGTATGTGTCGGCGGTGAGCTTGGTGCTGTTCATGTTCAGACTGCACAGACTCTTCATGGCTGAAACAGACACACAATTACAGTTAACGCACATTTAACGTGATGTTTTGTGTCCAGCAGCTGTTGTTGTTCAGTCACGTTAAACAGATTTTGTGTGTCACAGAGTAGCTCTCTGCAGATTACAGTAACGTGATGAATGAGGCTGTAGGACGACTGATTGATTGGTGAGCTGATAGGCTCTCATTGATCACTGGTGTTGGCTTTATTAGGAGAAAGGTGCTCCGCCAACAACCTTCCACTACATTTATGTTTGGTGGCTAGAACAGACTACCCATTTTCACAACTTTGAACTGGTCACATTGAAGCTACTAGATCTGATTTATTTAATGTTTACAAGGAGTCAGACCCAAAGTCCGTCACGCTGAGCTGCCTTTTGGTCATTTCAAGTCATTTTCTGGTCATTTTTAGCCTCTTTGTGGCTGTTTACGTGTTTTTATGGTCATGTTGAGTCTCCTTTTGATCATGTGGTCATCTTCTTTTGTCCCTTCGTGCTTCTTTGACATCTCTATGTGGTCATTTTGAGAACTACGGGACAGCTTTTCTCATCTTTGTAGTTGTTAACCTGAGGTCTGTGGCTTTCAAAGACACATCAGGGTTTTTCAGCGACGACGGCTGCTGCTGTTACGTCAATCGAGTATTTTTACATCATGTTAGAGTGTTATTGTGATAGCTGTAGGCTGAAAACACAACATGTCGGTGGTGTTTTTAGTTTCGTTGTGGTTTGAATCGAATAAACTTTAGTCCGAAGTCGTCGGTTCGGCTGCATTTTGTCCACAAAAGTCAACCGTAAACTTTACCAACAGCTGATTGTGTACGACAGCTCAACAACCAACATCAGATCATGTAGCAGCAGCAGCTAACTGGTCTGTGTTAGTCAGCAGTTCTGTTTTCAGGAATCAGATGAATATGTGCAGCTGCTCTGCTCCCAGTCTGTCACTTCAGTAGGAAATAACCAGGTTACAGTGATTTAATATGCTAAATGTTAGCTTCAGAGCTAATTTCAGCTAATAACAAATGTGGAAAATTCAGTTCATCTGGAGACACAATCAATTCAATTTCACCAAGACTTCCTTTAGTTCACTGCAGTCGTTTTGATTTGTTGTCGTGTATTTGTCGTGTTTCCTTACAACTGAGAGCCAGCAGACCAGCATCAGTGACGGGAGTCTCACACAGGTTCAGGACCTGCAGACAGGCCAGATGCTCAGATAACAACCTCAGTCCTGCGTCTCCAAACTGCACAAGAGAAACAAAAGGCCACATGTCAGACATGTGTCGGATGGTGTCCGGCCGGCGTTTGTGCGTCCGTGTGCAGACGTTCACCTGTGTGGACCAGAGGTTGAGCTGTTTGAGTGAAGGCAGCTTGATGAGCTGCTCAGCACAGGCACTGGTGACGTTGGTGAAGGCCAGGCTCAGGTTCTCCAGGTTCCCGAAAGAACCTGAGCTCAGCAGGCGGGCCAGGTCCGCATCCTGTAACACAGAGCAGATGTTTATGAAACGGTTTATTTTTAAAATTGCTGGTAGAAAATGTGTTTAGTGGTGGCGGCGCTGTGGTCTCACCGTGGACTTGGAGGGCAGAGTGAGTCGTGTCGGGCCTCCTTTTCTTTGCTGTGGAGACAAACAGAGAGAAATAAAGATGGCGTCTGAGCTGAAGGCCTTGCAGGAACGTTTTCTGACAGTAGATGGTGTTTGTGAGCAGCTTCATCCAACTGTGACTGAAGACGGGAGAGGTTTTGAACAAAACACTGCTCCTCTTATTTCCTGATGAGTTCCAATAAACGCTTCACTGTGCTTTCAGATCTGATAAGACAAATATAACAAAACCAATTTCCCCAAACAACATAAATCCATCATTTCCTTCAGCTCTAATTAAAGAAACAGAGTCATAAATGATCCTTTGTGACTCGGATAATAAATGTTATTGGTGGAAATGCCAAACAAATACACTCAGTAATACGATTACAACCACATGTAGTTGTCACTGTAGTTTCTGGTGGAGACACAAACCTGTAATGTTTTTATTGGTATTTCTCATTAAAAGTCCCCGCCTTAAAGTCCAACAGTTCAGAAGTACTGAATCCAGGTCTTAAAGGCTCTTTAATGTAATTTAGTAAGTTCAGCTGACAGACTGTATTATTATTATTTTTAATGTTAAGATGTGTGATGTACTATAATGTATGAGGAGAATCTTTACATAAATTGATATAATTACATCATTAATGTTGGGTTACACCAACAAACATCACTTCTAATTAGATTTTTTAGCAAACAGCTGTTTTAAAACAAGGAAAACCAGATTTAAATGTGACTTTTGTTGCACAATTGCAAACTAATCTCTGTTGTAAATCCAAGTTTATGATGCAAACTGAAATTAAACTTTATTCATATTCAGACGCTTGTTTACCCACATTAAAATAAATAAGCAATAAATTCACGTGCTTCTTATCTACTAAGTGTGGGGAAAAAATGGGGAAAACCAGAAGTTCTGGTTCTTCAGACGCTCCTCTGGAAACATCTTGTGGCAATAAATCTGGTCGAGTGTGTCTCTTAACCTTCATGGACGAACTTGAACTTTATTTTGTTCAATCCGTCTCAAAAAGCAGCCATTTTAGGAGCTAAACCTCTTCAGGCGTCAGTATAAACTTAATACCATTTACTGCACGGCTTATCCGTCATTTTACAGTCTCCTAATTACATATTATTAGATATGGTCAGTCATAGCACACTGTTGGATGATTACTTCTGGTATTAAGGAGGTAAACAGAGAGAAGCTAGAGCTGAAACACAAAGAAGAACCTCCAGCGCGAACGCCGACGTTAACCGACCACCGTGGCCGAGTGTCGTCACCAACTATGACTCTGTGAGGAAATTAATTTACCGGTTGTGCGTAGTTAAACTTGGACTGTTTACAGCAGAAACGCTGGAAAACCGCAATCGTAATCGAATCTATGGGTAACAGAGGAGGAGGAGTTTCCAGGAAGAAACACTCAGTTATTACTTAGAAACACCTCCACTGCTACCGTGAACTTTAACCGAGTGTTTGAGCTGCACAAACTTTCTTCTCACCGATCGGAATTACTAAACGATACCAAACGAATCGGGGGACCGTCAGAAGAACGGTGGCCTTGTTTCTGGGCTGATCTCCGCTGCTCCAGTATTTCAGGAATTCGAACGCTCCAGAGTTGCGTTTTGCTAAGAAGTGTGCGACAAACAGGAATTATGCTGTTAAGCTGTGACCTTTCTGGATGTGACTGCAGAGGCAAAGCCAGCACACTGCTAACGTGGTCATTTAGCAAGAATTCTGGTCTGAACAGGCCTTCAGCTGGACCCTGTGTATGAACAGAGCTCAGTTCAGTGACTACCAGCATCAAACAAGAGGATAAATGTGACACCAGAGCAGAGAGGTTACCAGTTATTAGCTGAAGTTATTTTGTCGACCTGGCTTCACAGCGTTCTGGTCCAATATTCGACCGACTGCAAACGGTTTTTTATCTATTAACTGTTTAGATCCAGCATGAAGTAAATAGCAATCATTTTGTTTAAGTAGTCAAACCTAAAGTCTGTCTGACACTAAGATGGCAGTGAATAGTGTTGATCCGTCTCCTTTCTGTTGCTCTTTGCTTCCCTTTAGAGTCTTGTCAAGAACATTTGGGTCTCAATATGGTTCTGGGAGCATCACTGATATTTGAAATACAAAAGAAAGCAGTTGCCCCTAAAAGCACAGAAGTATTTCGGTTTAACTAATGAAATCTCCGACACGAGAAAAGCTGCATATCAAAACATCTGAGGATTAGTAATCTGCCTGTCGCTGCGTGGTCTCAATCTTTCTACAGATCTGTCAGGAAAATTACAACGTGTACAGTATTTTTCAGATTTTTCTTTCTGCTTTTCCTACCTGGTGTTGTGAAACCTCGCTGATAAATGAGGGTTGACACCTGGAACATAGCTGGAGACAGCTCTGGACAGAAGCAGCTTTTTCCATGAGCAGGTTTAAAACTGTTGGAACAGTAGCCTACAAGCTTGTGCAGCCAGCGCCTCCAGGTGTTTATACAGCATATAAATAGTTTTCGCTGGTACACCTGTTCCTGATCAGGGCACAGCTACGAGCTCGAGGCTTTTCTGGAGGAACTGCAGGTTGGAAATGTGCATCGGAGCAGCTCAGGTGTCACATATGTTGTATAATTGTCCAAATAGTCCTAATTTCCCGTTACTTTGTGCTTGAGTCTTAACCTCGGCCGTCACCAGTGCGTTGGATTGACAATTAGGTGCAACTGGGTCACACGCATGACTGACAAAAAACAAGCGTTTGTTTGTGATGAGAAACTGGTGACTTGATGTTTCTGCCTTTCAGTCCTCCGTCGTACGAAAGTGATGCAAAAGAAAACAGCGGCTGATGAAACTCACCAGTTCTTTGAGCTCTCGCTGTCGGTCGCAGAGCTGCTCGTACATGCGGAGGCCCACCTGGGTGCTCTCCAGGGTGGAGATGATCTGCAGCTGGGTGTCTTTGTTCTCGATGATGTTGTACTCCAGCATCAGACACAGGATCTGCACACACATGGAAACAATACAGACGGTAAAGCTGCTGTTTCTTTGGGGGGTTTTTTAACCCACACATGAGCACAGACAGCAGAATCTTTGTTCTCGTAGCTGCTTGTGTATCTGGAGGATTAAAAAGTGAACCACACCTGGCTGAAAACTGAGTCAAAGCAAGTATATGTGCAGCTGCTAGTGAAGCCCAAACTGCTTCCCTCCGCCTTAGTTACACAACGAGAGATAAATGATAGATAATAAATCTACTGAACTCTCCATGGATGGATTAATGAACAGGTCCAGAGACAACCTGGTCCTCAGCTGGAAAATATCCCAGAAACAGATGTGAAACAACCACAAATTAAGACAACAGACAAGAACAGATGATGGAAACGACAGCAAACAGACTCAAGACAAACTAAATGAAACAGAAAATGACCACAAAGAGACAAAAATTACCATAAGATCTAGAATAATGTCAAATAAAGTGACAATAAATGGCCAACATGAAAGACAAAACCAGTACTGAGATGCAAAATAACCACAAAGACAAACAAAATGAGCACAAGGACACAAAATGAGCACCGTACAACCACAGAGTGATGCTAAGTTAACACAGAATGAGATTCAAAATGACCGACACAGACATAAAGTGATGATAAATAAACATAAAACAGCCAGAGACCGATAAAAAAATGAGCACAATAAGAAGCTAAATGGTCAAAATGAGACATAAAGACCACAGACAGGCCCAAAATGGCCGAAATGAAAATACCATACGACCACTTCTGTGATGCAAAACTACCGGAAACTGATCCTAAATTAGCCAAACTGATATAAAATACACAAGATGGCAAAAAAAATGACCAACATGAGATACCACGTGACTGCAAAGTGATGATAATTTACCAAAACAGACACAAAATGACCTCAAAGAGAGACAAAATGACCCAACACAGACACTAACCCGTCCAAACCGCAACCTAAATGACCGAGAGATGCAAAACAAACAAACTAAGACACCATAAGACTTACAGGTTATGATAAAATGAAACGCAGACGGACCAGAAAGAAAACAAAATGAGGCCATATGACTACAAAAATGGTGCAAAACTACCAGAATTTGATCCTAAATTACCTAAAAACACATGACAGAACAACCAAAATGTAATATGAGGTTATCTCAAATCACAAATTGAACAAAAACAAAGGCGATCATTCCCAAATTGAGACACCAAAATGGGCATAAAGTGACACTAAACTATTCAAATGCAACGCAAAACAACCACAAACCACCAAACAAGGAAGTAAACCAACCAGGAAGAGTCACAAAACAACTACAAAAAGGGACTAAACATCTAAGAAACACACTCTAGATTTGTTGTTGTGTTTGTTGCTTCATCATCCATCCATGAAGCTGCTGCATGTGAATCTATAGGACGGTGTTCATGGTTGTGGTGTAGCAGAGTTTGGGACGCACCTCCACCATGGTCTGGTTTCCTCTCAGGGCCAGCAGCATGCAGGGGCCCAGCTTGTTCTCAGCCAGAGACAGCAGGAACTTCTTGGTCTTGTAGCAGGAGCCCATCAGGATGTGAACCTGGAGGAGGAGGAGGAGGAGGAGGGTCAGTCTGGGTTCAGGCTGCAGGTGGTTTACCTGTGTGTGTGTTCGTACACTCACCATGCTGGCAAACAGCTCGCCGTCGTCGTCGCAGGCCACGCCCCCTGGACTGTAGAGCTGGAACCAGCCGTCTTTACCTGAACGCACACTGAGCAGGCAGGAGTGCACCTGGAAACACACCGCGGTCGGTCAGTACCGTTACAACACGTCCAAACGGCGTCAGAGCTGCAGCGACACACACTCACCTCCTGCCTCGGATCCTCCGCAAACCTCTGGATAACGTATTTCAGTTCCCTGTTGGGACGGACAGAGGTCACGCGTCAGCTCGTTTTATTGGCACATCATCGGTCAGTAAAGAAACAGTTTGTGACGAGGGAGCTACTTACTTTGTGAATTTGGCATGTGCGAGAGCTCTGCGGGGAGAGAACACAAAGACGTGTGAGACACCAAAACAAACAGGATTCTGTCAGGAAACTTTAATGTATTTTTTCCTGCAGCGCGGCTCAGATGTGACGTTACAGAACGTCCAGGCCTTTCTAGAAGCTGCTGGACCACAGAGCTGCTTTGTGACGGTGGAGACGGTCAAGAGTCAGACAGAGTGCAGAGCTCATTATGACGATTTTCAGCTTTTATTTGTCCAGTAAACTGAACGGTTTGTGTATTTTCCTGTGGATGGTGAGTGTGTTCTCAGCTGGGAGCCATCGGTGTAGTTTTTCTTCTAATCTTTTGTTGTTAAACTACAACATCTGACATTTTTGCACCATATTTAGGAAAAAACTTAACAAAAGGTGTTATATAAATGGTATATTTAAATGGGGGCATACGTAAATCAGAAACTGGGATTTGACCCACGATAAAGGGAAAGCAAGATCTAGCAGAAATCTAAGACACTCCAAAAAATAACAAACAGGCAACTGATAGAAAACCTTAAAGCAACCAAAAAAACAAAACATACAAGCTCACTACAGGCCAACAAAAAGACAGATTCATCCACCAATAACAAAAACATGCAAAGAAGCAAAAAAATAAAAGCCTTGAACAATGTTTTCTTCCATTTCCTCCAAAAATTGATGCAGAAAAAGTCTAATTTGGTGCATAAAAATCCACCAGAATGAAGTGTTTGATGCTCAAAACCGGTGTCGCCTCCATGTTTTAACCAAACCCAACTGAATCTAAAACTGGCAGCGTTCACCTCGTAGACTCTCCTCCGCTTCCCGATGAGGGAGTCGTCTTTTTACACTTCAATTTCTTAAAGCAAACAAGTCCAACTGTGTTAATTGTTGCTTTCCGTCTGTGTAATGTTGACTCATTTTATCCTCGGCTGCTGGGGAGTATTGTTGCCTTCCCCGATGACGCCCGAAGCCATCGGCCGGGCAACGCTGGCGCAGGTGAGAAGCAGGTGAGTCCCAGTGTTGGATAAAAAAAACAACAAGCTGTCGGGCCGTCGGCGCTAATGAAGCTCAGGATCAGACGGCCGGTTACAGGCGCGGCTCGGGGCTGCTTAAAGCCAATTACGGCGAGCTCTCCGGGGGGGAGAAGAGCCTCCCCTCCGGCCTACGATCCCCCCGGGAGGCGTTTTAAGGCTCCTCACCGACGTCAGCAGCCGGACCCCCGAAGGAACCGGCTAGAAACATGTACGGCTCCCCGGAGACGGTGACGAGAGGCTGGAAAGGAGGGCGCCGGGGGATCCGGTCACAATGTCGCTTCTGTCTAAAGCCAGATTCATCGGAGACTTGTGGTGTCCTCGACTGCTTCGGCGCCGCTTCCGAGAAACCTTTGGTTCTGGTCCAAAAACAGCTTGTAACCCTGTTTACAACTTTGTAATGTCGGGGTTTTCCTGCTCGGATCGGGCCCTCGGGGAGCAAATAAACAGTAATCGCCATCAATCTGCGCGCTGTAACGTCAGTGGGTCTGGGTTTAATTATCGGACATGAATCTGGAATTTCTGAACATTTGATGCACAAAAATGTCCATTAAGCGTCAATAAATGAAATCCAAATCGACAAAACAAGTCGATAACTCGTTGATTTTAGTGCTTGTGGTTTTCTTTTAGTGCTGAAACCTCTTTGTGTCTGAACAAAGATCTACTTGTTTGGCTGAATTACCCTTTAAATAAAGTTCTAGTGGAGACACATTAAATCTGATAGTGGACAAAAATGTTAAAGAGTTTGTTTTGCTCTGAAGGATCCACTTGTTGGATCTTTTGTGGCCCAAACCAGATTCATCGCTTGCTGGTTGGATTTAGAGAATACGCTGGCGACACTTAAAGCTAAGCATCGGGTCATTGGTTCAAAAGAAAGCCTTTTCTTTAAGTAGTTATTGGTTTTATTCTACTTTATTTAAGAATGATTATGTATATAGAATATGTATAGGAAAGTAAAGCAATTTAATTCTGCTCTTAATTAGTTTTTTCTCTTTAAGAATTGGAAAAGTTCTACATCGATTAGCAGCATCAAGTCTCAGCTCGTCTTTAAGTGTTTTAAGTCTGACAGAATCATGGACAGTTTTGCTGCCTTTATTATTATTTATGGATTTCTTTTGTTATCTTGAAGCTCAGAAACAGAGATTGATAAAAAGCTGTGGCTACTGTCCTCTACCGGACGGCCACGTTGAAGAGCTGTAACTCTGCCCGGACGTCTGAATGGGTGCCGGGTCGGTACTCACTCTTTAGGGAAAGGGATGGGCTGCAGCAGACTGGCCAGAGCGGGTCTCCAGTCGTCGAAGTCCGACCTGACCAACAACAAAGACAGACGACGAGTCAGTCAACACAACAATGCGAGGAGGAAGGAGTTTCCTGCGGGACAGAAGCAGCTGAAACACGAGCGGTGCCGCGATGACGCAGATTTACGGCGCTGATGCAACAGAAGCCGGAGCAGCGTCGCATTACCGAGTTAAGTAACTCCCGTCTTTGTTGCAAACCAACAGACGCTGTCGCTTTTCAGGCCGCCTGGCTCGGTTACCGGCAGAAGGAAAACAGTCACGTAACTGCTGCTCCACTTTCACTCGAAGGTTCATTGAATCGGGGCTGTTTACTCTGATCAGACCCTCCGGCTGCATGTCGCTAACTGGGACACTTCTGGCTTGTTGACGTGTTCTAATGTGGAACTAGATTCTAGTTGATGTCACTTTACAGTCTTTATGAAGGTCTCAGTCATAAGCAGGAACCTGATCTTCATCATCTGGCCTGTTTTTGGCTCCTTAATGCTGTTTAGTTTTAAATTAAACTAAAAGCTTGAAATTCAAAGTTGAGGAACATAATCACGGTCCTGCTTCTTATTAAGTCAAAGATTATCCAGAGTGTTTTCTTCACTTTTAAACTACCGACATTGCTGCTAATGACTCACAGCAGCACTTCCTGTTTTTTCTTTACGCCAAAAAGCCGTTTAATTTGAATCGAATCTAAATCAACACGTCCTGAAACCTAAACCTTCACCCAAAGAGCAGATTAGTGAGAAATCAAAACCTGAACGGGTTTAAAGGTGAATCCAATCCAATCCAGTAGTGAACCAAAGTCACAGAAATATCTATTTATAATATTTGTGGATGTAATTACCTTAATTATCCTCAATTATCTGCATTTAATGTACTTATTAGTACAACTAAAAAGATTCTGGCTGTTAAATAATCATTGAGCCAGAAAATATAGCATTTAATTTGACATTTAGACGGGAATTAAATAAATATAGAACTTTGTGGATGTTTATTCACATTTGAAGCTACTTTTTTAGTGATTTTGGATGACTGTTAATAATTAACTGAGCCGAACCTGATCCTCTTACCTGAGGAAACAGGTGTGTGACAGGTGTATTATAGACACATCACAGGTGTGTTACGGGTCCAGGTGTGAACTCACAGCATCTTGAGGATGAGGGCGAAGCAGCCCAGCACTCGGTCGGCCTGCGCCGGCAGCTGGATGGACAGCGTGTTGACGGCGGGGCTGACCAGCAGACAGTCGATGAGGTTGGGCTCGCTGTCGCCGCCCGCCGGGCCGCCCTTCCTCTTGGCGTTGGCCGAGTTGTTGTTGCGCTCGAGCTCCACCAGGATCTCGCTGGAGTTGACGACGGAGGGCGGAGGGGAGAGCGGCAGGGAGGGCGTCGGGGAGGAGATGGGGATGGACGGGGCGGCGGCCGGGTTCGGGGGGTTGGAGGGCGGCGGCTGAGCGGGGCTGGGGGCGGCCGACAGCGGCAGCAGGGTGGCGGGCGGCGGCGTCGGAGGCTCGGGGCGCAGCAGGCGCAGCGGCATCGGAGGCTTGCGGTCGTTCTGCTGCTGGCAGCCGTTCCTGATCTCCTTCAGGCTGGGAGAGTTGTCCCGACTGCAGCGAGGAGACACAGCAGCAACATGTCAGAGAGAAGTCTAAAAATAAAGCCATGACGGAGGCAAGGAGGCCAGAGAGACGCTACCAGAGCGATGGCTCTGGAAAATGTGGCCTCTCTCTGGGAAAGAAAGCTAAGGGACGACGATAATGAGTCAACAAAAGCCTCCTGCGGAAAACACCAAAGAAACCTTTAATGCAGAGACGACAGGTGGATGGAACATGAGCTGTTTTTGACTTTAGCAGTTTTATTTAGTTCTCTAATGCACCACAACACAAGAACACATACAGATGAAAACAATCTCAGGCGTTTAGTTACATTTGATTGACTACTTTTATTTTACATCTTAATTACTTAATTGATCTACTGAATATTTATCTTATTTGCAAGTTTCTCACATTTCTGTGTTTTATTTTTCTTCTAATTTATCAGGAAATGTTTTTATTTAACCACCTGTGTGATGCCTGGAACTAAAGTTGTATACAGTGTTTATTGTATATTTAATATTTTTATCTTTATTCTATTTTTGGATTGTATTTTTCCTTCGTTTTTATCATGCGTCATTCTTATTTAGCTGCTTTCACGTGTGCGTTTCCCCAGTGATACATCAATGAAGCTCATCTTCGTCCTTGTAGCTCCTTTTAAAGTCGATTTTTCAGACCTCTAAAGTTTTATATCGATCGGCAAGAATCCCAGAACAAGTTATTCTTCTTTCTTAAAACTGAGATTGGGATTAAATTACGTGATCAACATTCTTTTCAATCATCATTTGGTAATGAAAAGCCTTTAAAGAAACAAATGGAATGACTGATGTAGTGAGAAACGTCAGTGTTCATGAATCAATTTGACAAGATATACGCAATTTTTTATATTTGTTTAGGTGATAAAATGAGCAGTTTCTTAGACTTTAGATGCTGCCTTTCTTTTTAAATTAACATAAATGGTTAAAAAAATAAGTTTTGCAAATTTTACTCAGTCATCATGTTTGGTGAAATGGAATTTGCTTTAAAATATACATTAATAAGCAGTAAAATGTGGATTCTGGACGCTGTAATCCAGCATATGGTCCTGAACAAACCCAGCAGATGACAAGACACAAAACCCACAACCCTCTGTGCTCACCTTCAGGGTTTTCTTCTTAGTAAAATCAATCACATCATGTATTTGAATATTTCCTTTAATTGCCTCTTGTGTGATTTCTTGTGCATTTCCGCAGCATTGTGGGACGCTGCAGGTCAGTTCAGGACCATAAGTGGAATAACGACCTGTTGTGATCTGCTGTTCCTGGCGACGTCTGCAAATGACCGTTTTCTCCACAGAGACGTGGGAAATGACCGATCGCGTGTTTGTGTCATCGATGAAGACGTGGAGTTAAACGGCAGCGTGACTCTGACCCAGAAGAGATGCGGTAAGGAGCCTAAAACCATCGGGTGTAGCTGAACGTGTTGAATCAGTCAGAATGTGATTAAATGAACTGCCTGTGGTGGGCTTTCTCTGACGTACAGAGAGGAGGAAGCTGAGGTTTGTGAGGTGTTGCTGACCTGTTGATGAACTCCTCGTAGCAGGAGTAAATGGCAGCCAAACACACGGCCACCAGGTTTGGCAGGACTCGAGGGTGAGGACACTGGCCCGTCGGTCCATGCATGCTGCAACAGAGGACAGGACAGTCAGAGGGGGACGGAAGGTTCAGCATCCAGGGTGAGATTAATCACTACGACACCTGTCCTGTTAGCGCCATGTGGCTAACTAGCAGCTCGCATTAACCACATGCATAGTTAGTGTGACAGGCGAGACAAGCCACCTCTCAAAAAACATCCCTTTTAGACTGGACTTAAGTGTAGGATTACTTGTCATCATCTATGGTAGTGACTGGCCTGTTGATGCCAATGCGATGCTAATGACTACCCTAACCCTATGAATGCTAGTTCGTAGCCTAGGGATGCTAGTAATACTGGTGAATAGACTGGGATACTTCACTCTAGCTCGCAAATGCTACTTGTTAGCCTTGTGATGCTAGTGACTGGCCAAACAATGTTTATTGTTAACTCAGGGATGGAATCACTAGGAATGCTAGTCGTTAGCTTGGGGATTCTGAGAAGTGTCAGTTAATAGCCCAGAAATGCTAGTCTGTAGCCGAGATACTAGTTGCTAACGTGGAATAGCTGGTCACTAGTCTAGGATTGCTAGTCGTTAGCTTAGGGATTCTACTTGGTAGCAGAGAATTGTTAGTTGATACATGAGGAATGCTAGTCTGTAGCCTAGAGAGACTAGTTGCTAACTTGGGAAAGCTTGTCACTAGGCTAGGATTGCTAGTTGCTAGTCTAGGGATTCTAGCATCCTTAGGCCAGTGACTAGAATCCCTAGACTAGCAATGTGGGAACGCGAGTGTGTAGCTAAGGGATGCTAGTGACGTTAGTGGCAAAGGCAGAAATGCTAGTGACAAGCTGAAGAATGCTCGTCACTGGTTGAGGTATGTTGTTGACTAAGCTAGAGATGCTAGTGACCAGCCCAGGAAGGTTAGACAAACTGGGCTGTAACTTAGCTGCCGCTAGCCTGTGGATGTTAATGGCTAACCTAGGAATGCTAGTCTCTAGCTCAGGGATGCTTGTTATTAGCTTAGGGGTGCTAACATTAAAACTTGGAATGCAGATCACTAGCCTAGAAAAGCTAACGCAAGCCTACTGATGCTAATGACAAACCTGCAGTTGCTAGTGTCTAGCTTAAGGATGCTATCTGTTAGCTTAGTGATTTGATGCAGTGTGATGTAGCTACAGACCTGTGAATTACTCGCCTCTCTGAATGAGTTTATGGCGTCAGTGAGCGTTAACGTCTCTCAGATTCTAAATCAGTCTTCCACACAGCCACGGTGACTCTCAGGTTTATTAACGTTATGTGTGGGCTGGTTTCCAGTAAAGTACACCAGTGTTGTTTCAGTCTGAGACATCGAGGTGTGTTTACACCCTGCACTTCCTATTTACGTGTCCTGATACTAAACAGAAGAGATTTCAAACTGTCTCCGTTGCAAACGGATGACACCTCGCCACACCTTTATGTACGGCTGATCAGACAGCTTTATAGCACCTGCTGCTGACTCTCTTTCTCACCTGTGGACAAACTTCTTGACCACCTCCATGCCGCCGTTGAGCTCGTTCAGAGCCAGGATGTACTCCTGAGTGAAGAGGCGCAGCCGAGGACACTTCCCAAAGTCCTGACGGAGACGCAGAAGCGAGATTAGATCACATAATCCAAAGACAAAACACCCGACAGGAGGATCACAGCCTGAAATTTAAGGGCTTTTATCTCTGCTGTTTATATAATTACCACTTGTTTGGAAAAGACCGACTGTGGGAACGATTCACGCAGCTGCTCGCTGTGACGTATAATTAATGTTTTTGCTTGAGATAAAGGCTGTAGGTGCTCAGACACCGCAATATTCAGCTAGAGTAAGTACAAGCTGTGCTTTGATGGAGCTACTTGGACAGTTTTTAAGGTATCGGGGAACAAATCTGTATCGTATTTTATGTAAATGTAAAAGGAAAAACTATCTAAAGGTTTAAAATATAAAGTCAAATCAGGAGTAGTGCAAGATTTCCCTCAAAGTACAAACACCTTTAACTTAACGTTAGTAGTTATCTGCTACCTAAACAACGCTGGAATGTAGCTTTAGCATATAAAGCGCCAAAAACATCCAACTGCCTGCAATAAACACTGATCAAAAGAGGAACTGGGAGGTGTGGAACAGCACTAAATGGGAACTGGTGTCTGGTGCTGGGAGTCCGCAGCAGCTCCTGACAGGCTTCAGTTCCTTCAAAAAAAAAAGACCCGTAAAGGTGTTGATACGTAAGTTTTTTGTCTTGTTTTAGGAAGTCGGGTTTTTGCTTCGTCCCTGTTCTGCTGCTGATCCACGTCACATTTAGACTCATAAGTGACGGTTCACGGGTATTGATTACGTTGATTGTCGGGTTTTCTGCCCGTTGGGTTTTGTTATAAATCGTTTAATTTATGCAGCAGCAGGACATCTGTTGGCTTCTCTCCTGCTCCCTGTGCTCATATTTAATGTGTTTTAATACAGCTGGACCCCCAATAAAGCTGTTAACAATAACAACAGAACTAATAAGAAACAGCGACTGAAACTGGGTTCATTCAGACGACGTGTTAAAGAAGCTGAAAGATGTTCTGCTGATATGGTGTGAATTTAACTGTTTTTTATAGAATTTTAAGACAATGATTATACGAAGAGTGTTCAATATAAATACTGAACCTTGTCACTTTGTTGAGGAAGTTTAATAGAAACTTAGATTTCTAACTTAAATAATAAACTGTCCTTTCTATTATTGATTTTTTTTGTCATGTTTCCAGTTTAACTTGACAGTAAACCTTTGCCGCATTAAACAATATAAGCAGAGTTTGTCAAAATACAGCGATCCAGCAGAGGAAAGTGGATCCTTAAATTAATCAGTTATATCATCTAATCGGTGGGGAAATAGTCACTAGCCCTGTTGCAGACACACTGAAAACAGCAATAGCGCTTTATTACAGTTGTGTGTTTTTTGTACTTTATTTGTTTAAAAGAAAAAAAAAACAAGAAAAAGTTGCTGAAAATATGATTTTAAACGTGTTTCTCGTGCAGAAAGCGGTCAAAACAAAACAAAAAAGGACATAAAGTGTCTGAAATGTGTTGTGGAGTGGAAGCGCTGGTTGATTCCCAGTGAGTGTGGTGGTGTTGAATCAAACTGCTCTGGACTCAGCTGCTCTCACCATGTTGTGTTTGAGGATTCTCTGGACCACGGGAGTGAACACTTCGATCACCACCATGGACCGCGGCCGCTCCCGGCAGTGCTGCAACGAGACAGAGCGGCGGGCGGTGAGAACCCCGTTTACAGTGTTTACTACCGTGTGCTCGGCGTGGCTCTGCTTGGTCTCACCTTACAGAAGAACTCGCACAGGTCAGGTGGTGGGTGGTTGTTTTCCAGGAGAGGAGCGATGGCCTGCAAACACACACACACACTCAGATATGAATATTTCCATATGCTATCTGTTATTTACCCGGGCCGGGCGCCAGCAGCACGGAGCTGTCAGGTGCAGTAAAAACAGCCCACAGGTGAGCTGCACAAACATGGCAGCTCCTCTCAGCGCCGAGCTCTCCGGCTCTGCTCGGTTACCGCCGGCGTGGGCATCGACCAAAAACATGAACGAAAACACGAGGGAGTCTATATTCCTGATTAAAACAGGAGGAGGGCGACGGCCGAGGGGAGTTAATGATCAACCGGACATCAAATATGGGTTTATAGTGAACTTCAGACTCACCACGATGATGTTCTCATGATCCTGAGTGCTCAGATTAGAGTTCTGCAGGGAGGAGGAAGGAGAAACAAACAACAGCAATTTAGGGATTCATTAAATTATAGTGTCTTAAAATGATTAAACTGCAAAACACAGTGACACAATCAAACATTAACACACCACAGAGGCATGTGCTTCTTGTGAAAACAAACAAAGACACTGAGTTCATAGAAACAATGCTGGTGAGCTAGCTTTAGCTGCAGCTTATTCACACACTTTCTCCTGTTTCTTGTATTTACAAAAAACCTAATTTAAATGCTCCAACATGTTAGTAACTAGATTTTTATATCACATTAATATACGAGCAGGTCAGTCTAATCGTAAAGGACAAATACAGATAAATAGCGCTGCTTGAAGCTAACTAGCCTAGCTAAGATTAGCCAGGTAGAAGACAATGCTGTATCTCACCAAAGTAGATTTTGTTTGATTTAATTTGATTAAAGTTGCTTTAAATCACATATATGTATTTAGTTGTGCATTTAAAGCCAAATTACCTTTAAACTTTTGTTCAAATGAGCCAGAAAACTGCACATATTTCAGCTGTTAGCCCTTTAGCTCGTCCAAGCATTAGCACTGTGCTGAAATTAGGTTTTGTGCTAGTTTTAGCTGGAACTCATTTACCTAATATTTCCTAATCTATTCTAACTGTCCAATCTGCTTCTAACTGAGCTTTTATATCACATACAGAATGCAGCAGATCAATGTCTTTAACAAAGGATTAAAAACATAAACTAGTGCGGCTAGAAGCTAACTAGCATTGTGAAGCTTTACTAAATAGCAGTGGACTCCAGTGGAATTCATGTGATTTCATTTGAATGAAGCAGCTTTAAATCATAAAATATCTAAACTTATGTATATATTCGTTAAACTTTAACTCATTAGTTTAAATTAGTGATAAACCTGCACACATTTCAGACGTTAGCTGTGTAGCTGGTCCAAACGTTAGCACTGTGCTGAAATGTTTTTCTACGTTTTCTGCAGAATCACTGATTATTATTCAGTCACATAAAACACGACTTCTACATTATGTTAAACGTGGTATTTATATGCAGACAGTGTAAACACTCAGAGTATATAATTCAGAAACAAGCGAACAAATTGCACCGTGCTGTAAACATAATCTCAGACAGATGTATAACTTATGTAAATCTACTCTATAAATAAATATATACGCATCTGAACGGAGTTAAATACAAGCTTAACTCAGCCTCTAATTTTGTCAACTTCTAATTTCTGCTGTCGGAGCATCTGGTAAACAGCCTCCCGACTTTCTCTTCCTGAACGTCTCCGTTTCTGTTTCTGCTCTCGGAGTTCGCAGGACGGCGATCAGACGTCTTGACGACAACATAAAAGCAGATTTCTGTGTTTGCTTTACGGTCGTGTTAGAATCAGGTGTGGTTTGAAGGGAGGCTCCTGCTGCACAGCGACGACGTGGCCTCGTGTTGCCACGTCGCGACTGTCCAAACACTTTGGAAGTGACGGCATCATCAGAGCAAACACGAGGACGAATCCCAACACGACGCAGCCGTCTCCAAAGAGACCAATATTTTGGGAAAATATTTGGAGAATCTCAAGCTGCAGATTCTCACTGACATCACGGGGAGGGAAAATATTCAGGAAAGCAGCCGCTATAAACAGACGCGAAGGCTGGAAGTGACGGACGAGGACGACGAGGAAATCTAAACTGAAGCAGAAACGCACTTCAGTGAAACGACATCA